TTGAAGTTTGCTGTGCTTTATCCTAACATTACACAAACAATGTCATATCATTCAGTCAGTGACGGCTGCACTGCACAATACGTGCAAACTAATAAAAACATTATAAACTGTTCAGAAATAATGAACAAATTTAGTTTAGGCATACGCTGAAAATATATTTAGCTTTTTTGAAATATTCGTTAACTAAAATTCTCAGTTCCACGCGCATGTCCGGGAAACTCATGAATATTCATGGTAGAGCATACATGAATATTCATGACTTTCCCGGGCATGCCCACTGGAGCCGAGAATCTCAGAAACTGAGAATCTGGTAACACATATATCCCTATTCATTTATACTCCACCCATTGGAACAGTTTTTTCCCCACAGGAACTGGGTTTTACACACCACCTGTTTGAAATCGCCCACTGCTTGAGGAACAGGTGTGTTTACTGGCACATGTCGTGAGTCAGTCAAGTTTGAAGTTAATTTTCAGTAAAACCGAAAGTGAAACGCCGCAGGTTTTCGAGAAGGAAGGAGGCTGAACGGTAACATTAACAAGCATTTATAAAGAAGCTATGTGACGCGATATGTGGAGCATATAATGTTAATTGGATTATTTGTTTATTTTTTAAAATCATTTATAAGTATGCAGCACATCAGCGAATGTGTTTGAAATCAGTAATTCCTCAATTATGCTAAGGATTATTATGTCTGCGTTTCCTGTAATTGTAACCATTGTTTGTTAGGCTACCACGGATTCCACTAAAGATTAAATGACAACGGACTATTTAATCGCAGTGCAGTAACACCCTCCATTTAGGCAGTATATCGAATTTGATCTTTTAATAGCACTGTCTTAATACATGAAGCGATATTAAGTGTTTATGGTTTTCTTCGGGAGGAAAACGCTTAACGAGAGACGCATTGTGTTCATATTCTGCTGTTCTGTGGCCACAGATTTGCGGGTCTTGTCTTTTTCTCCTACAGGTGTCTTGCAGGACCCTGTACTTTATGGTACTAACTTAGTTTTCATCGTTTAACCACCACAGAGTCTCCATTGGCAACACGCACGATTTGTGTCGATTGCTAGTGACGTCGCGGAGACTGCAGGTGGCGATTGCAAGTGACATTGTAATTTTGTTTCTTTTTTTTCTTGTGTTCACCACCTGGCTACTTTTGTAAAATGTTGAGAGAATAAATAAATAAAAGATTGCAAGTGACGTCACTTGCAGAAGCGCAGGTGTATGTCTGTCTGCAGCCAGACTCTAACTTTACCTGCCTTTACAGAACACAAATAGACAAAAATGTGTCACATTATTTGTAAATATTAGTACCATTATTGGACTGTGTCGTTTCCTCGGTCTCTGTTCTCATGTATTTCACAAAGTTTAAAAGTGTTTTTAACGTTATGCCTCGCAAGCCACGCCCACAATATTTGAGATATTTGTTTCAATGGAAACAGATTTTGACACTTTTAATAATTTGAGCACATTATATGAAGTTAATTTTGTTTCTTTGCAGTGCTATTGTATAGGCCTAGGCAGATTTTTTAAACTATATTTATGGCTTATTTACATTTTGAGGTGAGCAGCAGTATCACTGCAGTTATAAACTTAGAAAGTGACATGTAAAGTGACTGTTTGATTATTCTGCTTATCCTTTACAAACATTGAAGGAAAATACTGTACTTAAGGCTTTTGCATCTCCAGTGTTTATACTGTAACTAACTTGATTACGAACAATAATAAACAATAGATAAATTAATAAGACTTGTCAATAACAGAAAGTAGAATGTAGGAATGTAGGACTTGTTAATAAAGAAAGGATGCTGCAATTTTTTTTTTTGTAAGCTGATATGGACCTACATTTTTTTAAAATAAATAATATTTTGTTATTTTTGATCGGAACGCATGACAGTTCACTACAGACACATATCTACCTATGATGCGTGTTGCAAAGAAAATACTTAAAATTGTACTTAAATGTGCGACAAGTTTAATCCACTGAAAGGAATGTCCCATGTTATCGTGGGCGTGTTTGCGACAAGAGTATGATCAACTTTAAAAGGCGTGAAATATGCAGGAACAGAAATCATAAAATGGTATAAAAACACTGGTTTAAAATCAACTCAATTTGGGTTGTTTTCAGCCCAGCTGCTGGGTAAATAAATATAGGACAGAACACATGTTGGTCTATATCCATTGTTCTCTCTTCTGATGTTGTGGTTGTGCAGAAAAAATAAAATGCTGCTCAGTGAACAGGTGTAAAATGTGTGAGGAGAGCTATTTGATTGTTTTCTAGTAAATGAGAAGTAATTGCAGTGCTCTGGTTAACCGCTGTAGAGTTAGTTACCATAGAGGTAGAAACGGTGAATGCAGTTTACAGGTTTCGTAGACAGAGAATGATGTGCGCCATATCAGTCGCTCAACACGAAAGGCTATGATTTCAATGAATAAATGAGCGCTGCACGTTTCAAGGTCAGGGAAACGCTATATTTCTGCTGTTCCAAAAGCTCCACCTACTGGCAGAGAATGAATGTGAGCGGAATGGAGCGTCAAACCCTTGTAAAATGTCCCTTTTTACCACAGCTCATGCGTTTAACTTTAGCAGCAGGGCAATTTGAAGCATTAGCGATATGCGAGCTGGACCTGCAACAAAAGCAATTACGATTGACCTGTGCATTATACTCCAATCATGTTCTACTCGGTGCTTTTCTATAGAATTTCAGATTATGTTGTCGTGCCCCGTGCTGATCTGGTTTGATCTCGTGCACTGATGCCAGCTCCAGTGTTTGCACGTGCCTCACAGCAGTCTCCATTTGGCCCGCTAAGAGCATTGCAACCTTCAACGTAAGCTGTGGCTGTAGCAAAAGTCACTTTCGAATGGGTGCAGAGGATGGGTGCTTTTTCCACCAGGTGATCCTGTATCATCTTGTCTGTATGATCACCAGACTCACAATGTACTCTCGATTCACGTAATGCTGATTCATCAGGCCTTTGAGCACGTTGTCTGAATTGGTGATGTTTAACAGCAACATTTGTAGCAGGCTGAAAATGTTCCTCTAATGTTTTGAAAGTATCCACAGCAGTCTGTCCTGTATTTGGTAGAGTGTAAAAAATATTTTAACCCCTCGGCTCCCAGACACTCTAGTAGGAAGGCTCGTTTTTGTCTCCAGTGGCATCGATGGTGACAAGATAATTCTCAGTATGAATCTGTACCGGGGACTGACCCGGGCATGACAAAAACAAAGTAGGTGTAGGTAAACTGAGTGCTGCCATCCCTGTCCCCAAATGTTGTGCCGTACACTTTATTAAAATGGTAAAGAAAAAGCTGTAACTAGAGTTGTGCTCACTCAAACCCATGCTCTGTTTTATTCACCTATTCCTGAGTCCCCACCTCGAGCTCACCTAGTGCAGAGCAATTGAACATATAACAAATCTTAAATTTATTCTAGTCAAGTGTCATTATTGTTCTAGTCAAGTGGTGAACGGTGCAGGGGAGGAAATTGACCTAATTCAATTTGTAAAATATTTTTATAATGCATTAATCATTAAATCTATGAATAAACAAGCAGTAATACTAATAGTAGTTGTTCAAGTTTATTTTATTATAAATATGTGGCTATATTAAAGCTTCCCCTTAGTGCTCTTATCTTATTCTCCTTTTCCATCTCCAAAACTATTCTGCTCGCAGCTGATTGGAAGATAGTGTGTGCCCTCCTGCTTTGCTGCAGTTTGATGATTTTTGTAAAATAACTTTTGTTTTTGTTCTTCAAACTCAGTTTCAGTTGCAGGCTCATTTATTGATAATAAACAATTGATAATTAATATTGATGATGATAAATATTATTTTATACTAGTCACCATCCTGACTAGAACTGGAGTAGGCGAAGAGTCCTTCAGGTTCCTGGGCTCTACCATCTCACAGGACCTGAAGTGGGAGACCCACATAGACTCCATTGTGAAAATAGGCCCAGCAGAGACTGTACTTCCTGTGCCATATTGAGGAAGTTCAACCTGCCATAGGAACTGCTGAAACCGTTCTGCTCGCTGGTAATCCAGTGTGGTCTGTGCACTTCAAAAACTGTAATAACTTTCTGGTTTGGTTCAGCTAACAGAAAAGCTACTAGTGCTCCCCTGCCCTCCCTAAAGGACCTGTACCTCTTACAGAGTGAGGAAATGGGCAAGAAAAATAATTTCAGACCCCTTGTACCCAAGCCACAAACTCTTTGAACTGTTGCTCTCTGGTGCTAAAGAGCACTGAGCACCAGAACATCCAGGCACAAGAGCAGCCTGGCCATGTCCCTCATGAATAAATGCTCCATAAAGCTGATTTGAAACAATATTTTTGTAAAAAGTGCTTTACAAATAAATTTGACAATTAATTGCCTCCATCATCCAGCCTAGTGCATTTTTTTTTCGCTGTGGATATAATTTCTTGTTCATGATAGAAATTCTCTCCTATTTATTCTATTACCTGTATATTTACCTTCTGCCATTGTTTTACCTATTGCATAGTTCTGCATATCATCTGTACCATGTCTTTTCTGTCTTCTGTCAGCTTTATTGTGCCTTCTATAAATGTGTATTGCTCTTATTTGCATATGTACTAGAAGCTTTACTTACCCAAGTCATATTGCTTGTGTGTGAGCATACAAAGTGAGAAAGCTGTTCTACCTGTACAACAGGTTATCCACATACATAGTTTAGCTCCAGCCAACATTTTGAGATTGTCCAGCTGTGACACGTTTTGTGTAAGCTCAATTCCTGAACCAAAATCAGTGTTTCAGATAAGTTCTGTATTCAGTTTTAATGTCAGTTAATGTTGCATAATGCCTAGTAATGCATTAAATATTTATGAATTTGCAGGCCCAATAACTTTCCCTGGAGGGAGAGAAAATCGGCGCTGCTTCTAAAATGAACCTCAGTCAGGACAGAGGGGAAAGGGACACTGTCTCTAAAATGAAGAAAAGAGAGGATGGTCATGCTGTTCAAAGAGAGACAGCAGCATCTCCAGAACCCAGTTGTGTGTCTATTAACAGTAATAAATCCATGACTCGAAATCCACCTGATCTCAGAGAATCAGTGACCTCTGACCCAGTGTGAGTATAACATGCCTGTGAAGAGCAGCTTTGTGTGCTTTTCAGATGAAATCACTAGTGCAATAGTAAAAATTAACATTGTTAATTAGTGTGGTCAAAATGTGTTTATTCTTTTTTTGAATTTAAGTCAGGCACCAAGTCATCACAGAAGTTCTAGTAAGGTATCCTCTCCATTTGTAAAATCAGAGGACAGCTCTGTACAATTTGTATTATGTTTATATATTAGCATTATATATCACATACTATATATTAACATATTTTTTATCTCATTCATTTTGAGATGTTAAAATGTCATTACACAATATTGCATATAATTGTAAGTATATCTTATATTCCTTGAATGCCTGCTATGCATCATTACATTATGTAAGAAACCAAATTGGTGAGGAACTCCATTCTCCATTACATCAGAAAAAGACAGATAAAGATCAGTCAGTAAAATGATTGTGACAGTAGCTACTTGCATGTTTTATCTAAAAGAGAGTAAATTAAAAACTTTAATGTGGTGTCACTTCAAATAAGAGCACTTACTATGTGGTACTTTTCTCCTCATTTCAGCAATGCGGAAAGAGATGGTCAGACTGGAGACCTGCAACAGGATTCACACCAACCAGTGGATAATGTTCTGCAGAAAGTCAAAGAGACTCACAAAACCAGCATGAAGAAAAATTACGAGAGCTTATTTGATGGAATCAAACTACAAGAGAATCAAACCCTCCTGCACAGGATTTACACACAGCTCTACATCATAGAGGGAGAGAATGAATGGGTGAATGAAGAACATGAGGTTTCACATATGGAGAAAACACCCAGAACGCAACACTTACAAGACACTCCAATCAACTGCAATGATATCTTTGATCTCTTACCTGAACCAAGATATAAGACAAATAAAAGAATGAGGAAAGAAGAAATAAAGACTGTTCTTACTAAAGGGATTGCTGGAATTGGGAAAACGGTCTCTGTGCAAAAGTTCATTCTGGATTGGGCTGAGGGAAAAGCCAATCAGGATGTAGATTTCATGTTTGTGTTTTCATTCCGAGAGCTGAACTTGATTAAAGATGAGCAGTACAGTCTTCACAGACTTCTGCTTGACTTTCATCCTGAACTTCGAGATCTGGATTCAAAGATTTATGAGAAGTGTAAAGTTGTGTTCATCTTTGATGGTCTGGATGAAAGCAGAAGTACACTGATGTTTTTAGACAGTCAGAAAGTTTCTGATGTGACTGAGGCTTCATCAGTGGGTGTGTTGATGACAAACCTCATCACAGGAGAGCTGCTTCCATCTGCTCTCATCTGGATCACCTCCAGACCAGCAGCAGCCAATCAGATCCCCTCTAAATTCATCAAGCGTCTGACAGAAATTCAGGGGTTCACTGACCCTCAGAAGGAGGAATATTTCAGGAAGAAAATCGGTGATCAGCATGAAGCTAGCAGAATCATCTCGCACATTAGAGGAGCAAGAAGCCTCCATATCATGTGCCACATACCAGTCTTCTGTTGGATCTCAGCCACTGTGCTTCAAAACATCCTCAAACAAGATCACAGAGCAGAAATCCCTAAAACTCTGACTGAAATGTACATCCACTTCCTGCTAATTCAGATCAACACAAGGAATCAGAAGTATGATGAGAGAGATCCAGAAAAACTCCTGCAGTCCAACAGAGAAGTGATTGTGAAACTTGCTGAACTGGCTTTCAAACAGCTAATGAATGGTAATGTCATGTTCTATGAGGAGGACCTTAGAGAGTGTGGCATAGACGTCACGGAGGCCTCAGTGTATTCTGGGATTTGCACTGAGATCTTTAAGGAGGAATCTGTCATTCATCAGAGGAAGGTCTACTGCTTTGTACATCTGAGCTTTCAGGAGTTTCTGGCTGCTTTCTATGTGTTTTACTTCTATATAAGTAGCGCTACAGAAACACTATTTGATTCACTGTATGATCTGCATAAAAGAGTAGTCAAAAAAGCTCTAATGAGCAAGAGTGGAGGCATGGATCTTTTTCTGCGATTCCTGCTGGGCATCTCACTGGAATCCTGTCAGATACTCTTACAAGATCTACTGACAAACACAGAGAACAGCTCAGAGACCATCAGGAAAACCACACAGTACATCAAAAACAAAATCATAAGTGACAAAAATATCTCAGCTGACAGATCCATCAATCTGTTCCTCTGTCTGCTTGAAGTGAATGATCAGACACTGTTCAGAGAGATTCAGGAGTTTCTGAAATCAGAGACACACTTGGTGAATAAACTCTCTGCTGCTCACTGCTCAGCAATAGCCTACATGCTTCAGATATCAGAAGAGGTGCTGGATGTGCTGGACTTAAAGAAATACAACACAACAGAGGAGGGCAGAAGAAGACTTATACCAGCTGTGGTCACCTGCAGAAAGGCTCTGTGAGTATTATGCTGACCCGTTATTTTACAAAACTAATTTATTTGAGAGTTAAATTATGTAAATACATTTTTTTTTTAAAGTTGAAAAGTGTTTCCACGCCTGTTCATCAGTAATAAATGTATATGACGTAGTTTTTGTTTGTTTGTTTGTTTGTTTTTTACAAATTTCAGCTGTTCTTATACATTTTGGCATGGTACTGTCAGATGTGGCAGACTCTCAACTAAGGTGGTATTTAAAAATGCTTACAGACTAATCCTGGCTAAACCAAAATGTTACCATTAATCTAGGCTCAAGCCAGGCATACACTGTGCAATTTCAGCAATGTTTTTGTTAAATACCAACTCTTACTGTACGAGTAAGCCGCATGCGATGGAAAGCCAAATTTGTGTGCTCACACTATATGGTCCAATCGTCGAGCTGTGACTTGACTGCTCACACTATACATGTAAAATAAACATGTGGGACCTCCCAAATCTGGAACTGTGTATCCTCCATCAGCAAGGAATACTCCCTAATATGATATTAGTGTAGAGGCAGAAAAACTTTGGGAGGAACCAGAGTCAGCAGGGGAGGCCCATCCTCCTCTGGGAACAGACATTACAATAATTGTATATATTCCATGATTTATCCTGTTATGTACGGTGGAGAAAACTCCATATGTGTTGGGTCCCCACTATGATAACAGTAACTTTTTCCACTGTGCCTGAGCTTACTCTACATCTATTGTTAAGTAATAGAAAGTCTAAGGCTTTAAATGCAATGAGTTTTCTTTCTTTTTTTGTAAAGATCAATAATATCAGAAAGGCAATCAGCACATCCTTATGTTGCACTGAGGTCAGACAGACTCGACCAAAACTTCAGAAATTAGTTACTATGTCTGATTTCAAGGCAGTTGATGTTGAAAGAAACTATACAGCATCTTAAAACATTAAGCTGCTCCCTTGACACACTCCTCACATTTTTTCCCCTTACAAAACTGTGTTTAACTGTTTAGAAGCAGATCTCCTGGAAGTGGTAAATGCCTCACTTCTTTCTGGGACTTTTCCAAAGTCCCTGAAAACTGCAGTTAAGTCCCTCCTAAAAAAGAGCAATCTAAATAACACAATATTGAGCAACTACAGACCAAACTCAAAGCTTCCTTTCATTGGCAAGATTATTAAAAAAGTTGTTTTCAGTCACCTGAACAAATACTTAAGCTTGAATGGATGCTTGGACAATTTTCAGTGTGGTTTCAGACCACATCATAGTACAGAGACATAAACATGATAAATGCCTAAATACAGATACTTGCAAAATATCAGTGCTTGTACGACTTGATCTCAGTGCTGCATTTGACACTGCCAATCACAACATACTTCTTGACAGGCTGGAAAACTCTGTAGGGCTTTCCTCAAATGGTTCAGGTCATACTTAGAAGGGAGGGGTTACTATGTGAACCTCGGTGACCATAAGTAGTCATCCATGACATGCAGAGTCCCACAAGGCTTAATTCTTGCACCACTTTTGCTGAACTTGTATATGGTCTCACTGACCCAAATAATGAGAAAGAACCAAATTACTTGCCACAGCTATGAAGTTGACACCCAGATCTACCTAGCCCTATCACTCAGTGACTACAGCCCCATTGATTCCCTTGTGCCAATGCATTGATGAAATTAACAGTTGGATGTGCCAAAACTTTCTTCAGTTAAACAAAGACAAACCTGAAGTCATTGTATTTGGAAAAAAGATGAACTCCTCGAGGTGAACGACTACCTTGACTCTAGGGTTCAACAAACAAACAAAAATCAAGTCAGGAATCTTGGTGTGATTCTGGGTCTTTAACTCCTGTGTAAGTCTTGGCTGAGAATTGTAGTAATGTCTAGCATGAGAGACCATGCTGCCCCTGTGTCTCTCAATATGATGATATTTCTAGATTTTGAAATCTTAGCGAGCATAACTGAACCTAACAGCATGAGTGGTTTATAAACGGAGGATTGAGGAAAGGGAGAATCTGACACAGGTTAAACATTAGCAACACTTATGGGTTAAGAATTGGAATTCTTTTGATTCTGGGCAGCACAATTAATAATAATAGAATAATAGAAAATAATAGAAACACTTGCCATTTGCATGAGTGGCTTTGAGTGTTGATGTTGTAAAGCTTACAACAGAAAAGCTGTAAAAAAAAAAAGCTGTAAGCCGTTTTTCTAGCTGTAAAAGAATTTGAATGGTTGTTTATCACTGATTGTTTTTTTGTTATTTATTAGACTCAATTGAAATTTTTACTTACATTTTTTTTTTACTCCTTTACAGTCTTGCTGGTTGTAATCTCACTGATTACTGGTATAAAATTGTGGTCTCAGCTCTCCAATCATCAGACTCACCCTTGAGAGAGCTGGACCTGAGTAACAATGACCTGCAAGATTCAGGAGTGAAGCTGCTCTCTGAAGGACTCAAGAGTCCAAACTGCAGACTGGAGATACTGAGGTGAGTGAGGGTAAAGTCTGTACTGAGTTTAATATTCAGGTTACTTTTATAAATTAATTTAATTAAAGGTAATTGAGTCATCAGCATCCCAACGTTTAGTGGATTAAGGCTCTTGCTAGTGTTATTTGTGTTCTTGTTAATAGTAATTCATTTTCATAATATGTAATCATGTTTGTAATTTGTGGGTAGAGTGGGTCACCCAACCAGTATTTTTTTTTTACTGCTGCAGTTGTGGTGGGAAATGTTTCTGCTCTTGACTGCTAAGTGGCGCTATAACCCTAGATTTTTACAAGTTATGGGGTGGACACAGTGCCTTCCCCAACCCCCAGCTGTGATTCTACCAATATGTGGATTAAACATATGGGTAATTGCCCAGGGTCACCACGTCCAGGGGGGCACCACTCAAATAATTTTTCTCCGGTAAGACAAGCGATGCATTCTCAAATGTCATGACCTATATATACCCTTTCATCAGAACGTAAGTTCCCTGAATGGTTTGTTGAATTTTTTTATTTTTTTTCCCTGCGTGAATCAGCGGACGTGCAATCTATCTCCAGTGTTGGGGGTAACTCATTACAAGTAATGCGAGTTACATAATCAGATTACTTTTTTCAAGTAACTAGTAAAGTAACGCATTACTTTTTTAATTTACAAGAAAATATCTGAGTTACTTTTTCAAAAAAGTAATGCCAGTTACTTTGTTTTCCCATTTATTGACTGACAAGTCTCCTGTCCCCATATTGGGAGAAATCGGAAGTGCAGAGGAATTGTGCGCGCTGTGTGAACATGATGCTACTGTAGTTCTAGACTAAATGTGAATGTGCATTAATTCATCCCACTCACAAAAAAACAGATTTAGTATTAAAGGGGTCCTATTATGCTCTTTTACAAAGTCTTGTTTTGGGGGTGTACTAGAACATGCTCTCATGCTTGGTGGTTCGAAAAACGCATTATTTTTCACATAATTTACATTATTACAATACCTTTCTCCCCAGCCTGGGACAAACGGCTCAATTAGTTCCGGCTTTGATGAAGGTCCGCCTTCCGAAAAACAAAATGTGTTGTGATTGGTTAGCTGTCCCAGTGCATTGTGATTGGCGAACAGCTTAGACTGTGTTTCAGTACTGCCACGCCCCTTACCAAATCAGCAAGTTAAGTCTGCTCAGGTATAGTTAACGATGGCGTCAATATTGCCATATCAATTTGAGCCGGATTCAGACCCCGAGAATATTGAACAAGAGGATCACGCAGAACCTTTGCACGCACGGATATTGCAAGACATATTAGAGTGGTAACGTTATTGTTGTTTTTTTGGCTAAATCCCGTTTTTAGATAGGATGTCAACAACCGTCTAAAAACAACTGCATTTACTATGTACAGATAAGTGCA